GTATATATTAAAAATCGTTTATATATATATATATATATATATATATATATATATATATATATATATATATATATATATATATATATATATATATATATATATATATATATATATATAAAATTAATCTTTTATATATTTTGAATTTTGAATTTTATAAATTATTACTGTGTATATTTTGAAATTTTAAGAATAATTGTGTATATATTTTTAATTTTATAAGTTATTGGGTAAATTATGAATTGTTGTGTGTATATGCGGAATTTTATGAAATATTGTTTATATATTATTGTGTATATTTCAAAATTTCAGGAATAATTGTATATATATTTTTAATTTTATAAGTTATTGGGTAAATTATGAATGTTGTGTGTATATGTGGAATTTTATGAAATATTGTTTATATATTATTGTGTATATTTCAAAATTTTAGGAATAATTGTATATATATTTTTAATTTTATAAGTTATTGGGTAAATTATGAATTGTTGTGTGTATATGTGGAATTTTATGAAATATTGTTTATATATTTTTAATTTTTAGAAATTGTTATCTATAAATGAGATGGAGGGAGTAGTAGTTTAGTTATTTAGGTGAAGAAAGATTGAGCTAAAGAATTTGACAATTTCTTTTATGAGATGACTTATAAATTTTAGTTTTCTAATTTGAGCTAAATAATTATGAGATAGCTTATAAATTGCCTTAGAACCTAATTACTAAATAAAATGGAAAAGATAAGCCCTTTGTGAAATAAAAATGGAATTGTGTTGATATTTGAAAATTTAGGATTTATTTTGTATATATATATATATATATATATATATATATATATATATATATATATATATATATATATATATATATATGTTGAATTTTAAGAATTAGTGTAGTTGTTGCAGTAGTTATTGTTATAGAAATTTGTTAAAATATTGTTAACAAATGTTTAACTAGGGTTATTATTATTTTAGATTGGCTTGTGATGGATAAAAGTTAGATGAAAGCTAATCGACTTAGTCAGGAATATGAAGATGGAGTTAGAAATTTTTTACAATTCAACACTTTTTTGCTTGTCCAAAGAAGCTGGAAGTTGGTAGAGTTATGTACTGAAGCTGATGGGGTATGTACACTGAAAATATTTCTATTTTAAAATAGTAAGTAATTTACTTTTTAAAATAATAATTCTTACTTGTATTATAATTCACAGTCAAAAGAAAAGACCAAATTGACTTTTCAATCGGGTGTGCAATCCGTATATCAACAATTCACTATAGCTGATCTAGATTCTTTGACTGATGGATGCAAAAAGGCCTTTTCAATCGCTCGCCGTTTTGAACACCATCTTGTGGTCCATGTGGCTCGTGGTATTATGGGCAACATTGACTATGACTTGTACCTTGCAAGTGATGAGATAATGCGTTTTTTAAAAATGGAGACCATCGATGTTTCTATAGTTCAGTACTTTATGAGGTAATAAGTTCTTTAGTATTATTTATTCATAATAATTTTATATTTATATAGTTGGTAATCTATATATAATTGGTTGTGTTTGTGAATAGGGGTATTTACATTAGTTTTGAGTTGGCATCAAAAGACACGTATGGCTTCCTAGATCCATATTGGATTATATTCATGCATAATCTGTGGGGATGGGGGATAGTTTGAACCTATCATTTTAAGAACACTTGGAGAGTTTGCAGCTTTGACATACTGATTTGTTACTGTAATGCAATACATATTACGGAGAAATAATATATCAATTCCCAGATTGGAGTATGAGCAGAAGCGGGACATGGATTCAAGGATTACCAAATTGAGGGCAACACTTATCAAGTTAAAGAATGATTTGTCAGAGGTTGAGGAGAATGAGAAGGAACTCAAATCAACAATAGAAATGACAAGTAAGGAAATTAAGCATTACAAAGAAGAAGTAACAGGTATGTAAATCAACTTTAGAATTATTTTCACTTTTGGTCCCATGACTAATAGGTCACTTCTACATTTGATCCTCAAGTATTACTTTTGTCACATTTGGTAGAAACTGTTAGACTAAAATATCACATGCATAATCTTATATGTGATAATAGGATCGTACTAACCTCCAGCCATAGTTCTTCTTACGGTTGAGCGATCCGGACTGCTGCAGAGATGATAAGTGCTTTGTCTCTCACTTTACTCAGCTCTCTCTAGATGGTGTATGAGGTATGTAATGTGAGCAGTGAGAGGACTAGTGACCTTATATAACCACTGGCCATCATTGTGGTTGATTGTCTTTAGGTCTCCTAAACCCTAACCAGACTCCTAATCATAATGGTAGTCTAGCTATTAGGTTATTAGTGTTGCACCACATATCAAATACTGAATATTATCATAACTTATCCTAATGTTATAATAATAGTAACGGATAAACGTTACAGAAACCAGTTAGAATTCATCACATTTCTAGTTCAGAACCATAACAGCTTCAACACTTTAACACTTTTGGGGAGAAACTATATGGTTTTGAATTGGAAACATGATGTAAATATGTAATCGGGTTTTCTACTAGAGGTTTGGTTGGAAAGACCAAATGTGGGTTATGTGGCAAAAATAATGCTTGGGGATCAAGTTTGATGGCAACCTAAGAGTCATGCGATAAAAAATGGAAACAATTCATGAACTTATTTATGTTGTTCTGAATAAGGTTCTTCTAGTTATTTCTTAGGCTTTGTATTGAGATCTTACGTACATGCATGTAAAAACAATTGACATTGAAGATATATAATGTACACAAATGCAAGCAGGTGTGCTTTAGTATGAATAAAAATTGGAGATTGATTACATCTTTAAGTAGTTTATTTTAATTGTTAACATTTAGAATTTGTAGTAAAATGTTATTAGAGTTGAAATTTTAGATTGGTGTGTTTTAGTTGATAGAATTGGTGTGTAGTATACATCTTAAATTGATTAATGTTGAAATATATTATTTGGTAGTTATGCTGGGATGTACAGGAAAATATTGGTAGTTTTATAAAAAAAAAAAAAATTTTTTAAAATTTTTTTTACTATACACGTCCAAAGTTCAGGAAATGTGGACGCGTATAGTATTTTTTTAAAAATAAATAAACACTATACGCGTTCAAAGTTCACGAACTTTGGACTCAAATTATCATTTTTCGCGTCCAAAGTAACTTTGGACGCTAATTGTATATACAATTAGCGTCTCCTACATCCGCGTCCAAGCAACTTTGGACGCCTTTTAGCCTTAACTTTGAACGCAAATGACTGTTTTTGTACTAGTGATTCAACCACAAATGAATAATATGGAGGACAGGAAATCGTATATAAATGCCATCATGCAGTCTGCGAAGAAATTTGTATACTTAGCCCCATATGTTCTCAAGTAAGTATTAATTACGTTTTAAATAAAAATACTTATATATAATATATTTTTATTATATATTATATTCACTTAAAACTAATAAATATTTATTTGTAGTGAGCATTGGATGTTGATGGCGATTTGTCCTCGACTAAAAGAAATTTTTTGGCTTGATTCACTTGGTCATGCGCCGCGTGAAGACATTAAACATATAATGGAAACGTATGTAAATTTATATAATTAATTAATAGTTATCATTAAACTAGTGATGCCAAGTATTTATATATATTTTATGTCTTATATTAATAAGTGTATGACTGCAACAAACATGATGAGTGGAAAGAAACAAAATCGTTCACCAAAATGGACTATATGTTCGGTAAGTACTTCATTCACTTTGTAAAACATGCAAACTTTTTGTTTTTTTATTAATTTATTTTAATTTTATTGTAATTCAAATGTAGTGTGCTATACAAAAAGGAATCACCGAATGTGGTTATTATGTGATGAAATTCATGTTGGAAATTGTTTCCAATAACCTAAGCAAAGGAATGGATAAGGCAAGTAATTTAATAATATATTTTTTTTCTTCAAATGTTTAAAAATACTTGCTTATTTATTATTTTTATTTCTTTTGAACTTTGTAGGCTTTGGAAAGACAAGGAAGATTGCCCTACAACAAACAAGAGATTGATGAAGTTAGAGACAAATGGTCTAAGTTTCTTACTGATGAATGGGTTAATAAAACACTTCTTAGTTGATACTTTACGTTTAAAATTAGTTTATGTTTATTGGCTTGATGTTTAGTAGTTTTGTTGAATTGTGTTACGTATATTAGTTTTATGTTTAGTAACTTGAATTAGTTTAATGAATTGTGTTCTTTATATTAGTTTCATGTTTAATAGTTTGAATTAGTTGATGTTGAATGTTAAATTGCTAGCCGCGCAAGATCTGAAAATTGATACATGTTGGGGTAGAAACCATAAAACAATTATAATATAAGAAATGTATATATACGACGTCGGATGCACTACTACAGAAAACGGTTTTAACGTCGGATTTTCTAAAATCCGACGTTAAATATTTAAAATTATTATTATTATTTTTTTTAATACATATGACGTCGATTATAACAAATAACCGATGTCATATATAATCAAAATTTAAAAAAAAAAGTAAAATAATTACGACTTCGGCCGACTTAATTGACCGACGTCGTAAACTAATTTAAAAAAAAAAATGAAATTTAAATAACATACGACGTCGGCTAATTAATTAGCGACGTCGTAAGCTATTTAAATAAAAAAAATAGGAATTAAAATAAGATACGGCGTCGGCTAATTAAAAAAGCCGACGCCGTATTTTATTTAAATAAAAAATAATAATTATTATAATACATACGGTGTAGGCTGATTACGTAGCCGACGCCGTATGCTTAATATAAAAAAAAAATAAATTAAATAATTACTATACGGCGTCGGCTAATTAAAACGCCGATGCCGTATTGTATTAAAATAAAAAAAAAAAAGAAATTATTAAAATACATTCGGCGTCGGTTTATTATAAAACCGATGCCGTATGTGCCGTACCTATTTTACAGCCAGATAAAAAAAATTCACACTTAGCATTTCATTTCTCACCAAATCTCACCGCATCACACTTCCCCTTCATCTTCATCTTCATCTTCACCACCGTTCGCCCGCCGTTCGCCTCACCGCTGCACCGCCACGCCGCTGCACCTCCTCTCCGCCGCTGCTCAGATCCAACGCCCTCCTCTCCGCCGCTGCTCAGATCGGACGCCATTCTCTCTGCCGCTGCTCACATCGGACGCCGGGGACGCCGCTGCTCACATCGGACGCCGGGGACGCCGTGACGCCGGTCGCTCTCTCCTTCGACTCTCCACGCTGGTACGTACTATGTATATATTTATTTATTTATTTTTATTTTTATTATTTAATTAGTTTTTTATATATTTTAAAATTTTTAAAAGAATTCTGCAATATTTAAACATCAATTGGATCTTTCATGCTCCAACAAACATCAGTAAAATGGTTTAATTTCCCTCAGTCATTTAATATGTTGGAATTGGTTTTTTTAAAAGATCTGTGATCTCCAACATATTTGTATTGAAATCTTGTTTGTTTGGTTTGATATTGTGCTATCTTATGGTTGGTGTCCCCTATGGCCCTATACTATATCATTGCATACATAAAACTTGAGTTTCTAGTTAAAGAAAGAGGGTTGGGTTGTTTTGAAATTGGTGTTAAAGTTGGGTGTAATACCAGTGGCTCTATATTTACATTCATTAGAGTGTGGTTACTGAGTTGTGAAAGAAGTTGAATTATATTGTCACTAATTTGGCATATTTGTTCTGTAATTATAGGACCTTGCTCTATTTGGAATATACTCTTAGGAACGTATTGGGTTAGAAGAAATCTTTTAAAGCATTACACATTCATTTAATATTGCATTTATTATATGCTCTGTGTTTCAAGTGAACTGTGTGTAGAGTTTTAGTAAGGATTAAAAGCTCTAATGGGTAGTTATTCTTTTTTTATGGCTATCTATTAATTAGTATATATTTATAAACCTTTTCTGTGGGAAATCTCCAATTTGCTTCATTATAATATTTAGCAACTAAGCAAAAAAACTAATTTTTTCCCCCTAAAATTTTCCCAAGTTTTGTCTCAGATGGGAATTGCTTTGATCTTGTCTATGCCTTAGAAATTGTTTATCATATCTATGCCTAAAAGCTCAATTTATTTATAGTGAAATGGCTATGACAAAAGGGAATCTACCTATAAAATAAAATATTGATCCTAATAAAACAATAAAATAAAGCTTGATTCATGGGTTAGCATTCCTTGATAAAATCATTAGTTAATTGAGTCCCAACTATTAGAATCAACTATTATTTTGGTTTGATTCACTTGGTCATGGGCCGCGTGAAGACATTAAACATATAATGGAAACGTATATAAATTTATATAATTAATTAGTAGTTATCATTAAACTAGTGATGCCAAGTATTTATATATATTCTATGTCTTATATTAATAGGTGTATGACTGCAACAAACATGATGAGTAGAAAGAAACAAAATCGTCCACCAAAATGGTTCGGTAAGTACTTCATTCACTTTGTAAAACATGCAAACTTATTGTTTTTTTTTATTAATTTATTTTAATTTTATTGTAATTCAATGTAGTGTGCTATACAATTGGGAACCACCGAATGTGGTTATTATGTGATGAAGTTCATGTTGGAAATTATTTCCAACAACCTAAGTAAAGGAATTGATAAGGCAAGTAATTTCATAATATATATTTTTGCTTCAAATGTTTAAAAATACTTGCTTATTTATTAATTTAATTTCTTTTGAACTTTGTAGGCTTTGGAAAGACAAGGAAGATTGCCCTACAACAAAAAAGAGATTGATGAAGTTAGAGACAAATGGTCTAAGTTTCTTATTGATGAATGGGTTAATAAAACGCTTCTTAGTTGATACTTTACGTTTAAAATTAGTTTATGTTTATTGGCTTAATGTTTAGTAGTTTTGTTGAATTGTGGTACTTATATTAGTTTTATGTTTAGTAGGTTGAATTAGCTTAATGAATTGTGTTCCTTATATTAGTTTCATGTTTAATAGCTTGATACTTTACGTTTAAAATTAGTTTATGTTTATTAGCTTAATGTTTAGTAGTTTTGTTGAATTGTGGTACTTATATTAGTTTTATGTTTAGTAGCTTGAATTAGCTTTTAATGAATTGTGTTCTTTATATTAGTTTCATGTTTAATAGTTTGAATTAGTTTAATAAATTAGTTGATGTTGAATGTTGAATGTTAAATTGCTAGCTGCGCAGGATTTGAAAATTGATACAGGTTGGATAGAAACCATAAAATGAATATAATAAAAAAAAATAATAACATACGACGTCGGCTTTTAGGGTAAAGCCGACGTCGTATAGTTTTTTTTTTTTAAAAAAATAAATATATACGGCGTCGGTTTTTAGGTAAAAGCCGACGCCGTATGGTAATTATTTTTTTTTTTAAAATAATAAATATATACGGCATCGGCTTTTACCTAAAAACCGACGCCGTAGGTTAATTATTTTTTTTTAAAAAAAAAATAAAAAATATATACGGCGTCGGCTTTTACCTAAAAACCGATGCCGTATGTTAATTATTTTTTTTTTTTTAAAAATATAAATACTATACGACGTCGGCTTTACCCTAAAAGCCGACGTCGTATGTAAATTATTTATTTATTTTAAAAAAATATATATATTTACGGCGTCGGCTTTTACTTAAAACCCGATGCCGTATGTTACATACGACGTCGGTTGTTTAACCGACGTCGTATCATTTACTTACGACGTCTCTAAAGTCGACGTCGAAAGATAACCGACGTTAAATGGGGTATTTTAACCGACGTTAAAACCGTTTTCTGTAGTAGTGATGTTTACTAAATATCCGACGTCGTATTATTTAAAAAAAAAAACATACGACCTTGGTTTTTAGGGTAAAGCCGACGTCGTATAGTTTTTAAAAATTAAATTAATTAACATACGACGTCGGCTTTTAAGAAAAGCCGACATCGTATGTTAATTATTTAAAAAAAATAATATACGACGTCGGCTTTTAGGTAAAAGCCGACGTCGTATATTAATTAATTTAATTTAAAATAATATACGACGTCAGTTATTTAACCGACGTCGTATCATTTCCTTACTACGTCTCTAAAGTCGACGTCGAAAGATAACCGGCGTTAAAACCTTTTTCTGTAGTAGTGATAATAAAATGCATCAACAACAGAATTCGAACCTACACAGGGAAAACAAGTTGACACTCATGCTAAGATGCATCACTGATAACCGACGTTAAAACCTTTTTCTGTAGTAGTGATAATAAAATGCATCAACAACAGAATTCGAACCTACACAGGGAAAACAAGTTGACACTCATGCTAAGATGCATCACTGACAACCTGCAAGAGAAAACAATCAGCAACAGCAAAAAAAGGCAAACTATGAGGCTTGAACCCACAACAACAAGGTTAAGAGCCTTATGTTCTACCAGCTAAACTAGACAGGCTTGTTCTTAAGAAACATTGTTGATTCGGTAGATGTACATATTGAGAAGGGTATATTTTCACTTGGATCAATAACTCCATCAATGCCCACTTTCACTTGATTTACATATAGTTCAACCACGCGAAGCATTCCACTCGTATAAAATGTTTTAAGAAATAGTAATCAGATTAACGGTACACGATTACTTACACCCATAAATCAACAAAAGGGTTTGGAGAGCTAACTTTTTCACTATGAGATTGTGGCTCAAAATCCACGCATATACCATCCTCCTGCCTTGAATGTGCAGCTTGGGAATTAGGAGTCTGCATATTAAATTGCTTAAACATCTTTGGCATGGTCATTTGAAAATCCTCATTTTGTTTGTTTAACACTACAACAATGGCATAATCAATCATTTGTTGGACTTCTTGTGCTGACACGAGGTCTTGGGGATGTGCTACATGGCCAAAGATGGTTTTTATGCTAAATCCTCTTCCCATGTCTCTAACACAGTCCTGATGCTCATCATTACCTAACGCAATAGACAATATATCTTGTCTTCTTGACTAATGAATTCTCTTTGAGAAGTTTGCAACTCGAGAGAATCTTAACATATATAAACAATATTTTATTATTTTATAATAATTACTACTATATTTTGTTTGTTTGTTTTTTTTGAAAACCTATTATATTTTGTTGAATCTATTGAACATAACTATTATTGTAGTAAATTGAAGACTGCAGCTGTCCTGAAAGTTATTATATATATATATATATATATATATATATATATATATAGGGGTGATCACATGTTGCCATGTTGTTAGGTGTGGTCATATTGTCAATTACAGGCCATTAGATTAGATAGATTCAATGAATCACATTAATCAAGTTTCTTCCAGTATTTTCGCGCACATTCTCCTACCCAGCGAACTGCAAGGGTAAACTCGTCATAAGGCACCGGAATAGGGAAAATCACATTATTGTGTGTTTTATTTGTGTAATTGGTGCATTACTAGCCTTACTCTGATGTATTTGAAGATTTCCATTGGAGCCAAGTTCAGGTGAGGTAACGCCTTCCTGTGTGGTCAGTGCGGCCGCACCAATTGTTATACAAATATACACAATCCATTTTATGAAATGCACAAAAAAAAACATACACAAATTAAGTACACATCACAAAAAACGCGCCATTAGATATAAATAAATACACCATACAGTGTTCGGGAATACACTATTGGCGTGTTTCACTGTGGTGTGTTTTATTACACTATTGGTGCATGTTGTCAACACTGTTGGTGTATTCTGGAACCCGGCCGCTATAAATGGCCACTGTAATTACCATAACACCCCACGCGCGAAAATCCTCAAATCCTCAGAATAACCACTGCCGTTAGATTAAACTGATTCAACGACACAGATACGACCACACCACCACACCTAATGACATGACCACATATGAGCGCTCATCTACATATATATATATATATATATATATATATATATATATATATATATATATATATATATATATATATATATATATATATATATATATATATATATATACTGGTGAACGTGAGAATTGAAGCTAGTTGCAAGTGGGCTATCTAGTTTTAATCAAAATGGGTGACTGTTCCATGTATACAAAGAGAATGCAAGGGCAGAAAGCGACGCCATTTGTAGGCCTTTATGCAGCAGCTGTTTCCACCATCTGCTTCATTGCAATGGTCCTTAACTCCGGGTACAAACAATTATCTTTCTACAAACACACTAAGACCTTCCACTTCTCAAGAAAATACTTTGCTCTCAATGCAATATGGCTCACGCTATTAGCCGTGGCAACCAAGCTCACAGGCGATCTCACAACCTAGATGCCCTCACCCAAAGATAACCTCACAAAAATCAGTAGCACTGCTTTCTTAACCATGGTGATGGGTAATTTTTTCACCACACTGGCTTCAATGACCGACAAAGATATTCTAATCAATGTCACTGCTTTGGGCATATTGATAATCACTGTCCTTGTTAATCTATGCATCCAACTAAGTACCCATGTACTCGAATTCTCATTATTTCCTAAAATCATACTTATTATGGTTTTGTTGGTATGCACGTTCATAACAATTGTGTGTTCCGCTCTAGCAGTTCCAGCAATTAAGAAACGCTCAGAATCTAAGTATCAGAGGCTGCTAGCCCCCAATTTATGATGACAATGCAAGGTTGGCGACCTTCATTTATGTTGGGTGCATCTGTCAATTATGTTCTTTTGTTTCAGATTTCGAACGGCTTCTCGTGGATTATGCATTTGATAATTAGACTTCTCACTGTCAACCATCTTGTCTACCAAATAACAATTCACATTTTCATATGTTGGCATAAAATGCAGAAAATTAACCGTTATACCTCCAGGAGAGGTATCAACATAAAGAAACCAAGTTTTGGACTCACAAAAGAAGTTATACTCCAAAAAATAAGTAAAACACTGATCTGCAGAAAATTACCTTCTTCCCTCGCAGATGGTCGTTGAAGCTTGAAGCCGATGTCTCGCCACAGCCGACCTCGCAGATGGTTGCCGCTACTCGCCTCACAGATGGTTGTTGAAGCTTGAACCCGCTGTCTAGCCCCATCCGATGGTCTACGAAGCTCCACGTCGTTGCTTCTAGCTTTGCAGATGGATGACGGTGGCCTCGCCGCCCGACCTAGGTAGGCAAAGCCCAATAGATCGTCGCCATTTCGAGTCAGCCAATAGACCTCGCAGATGGTTGCCGCTACTTGCCTCATAGATGGTCGTTGAAGCTTGAAGCCGCTGTCTCGCCACATCCGATGGTCTATGAAGCTCGACATCGTTGCTTCTAGCTTTGCAGATGGATGACAGTGGTCTCGCCGCCCGACCTAGGTAGGCAAAGCCCAATAGATCGCCGCCCGGCCTGCGCAGGCAAAGCCCAATAGATTTCGAGTCAGCCAATAGACCTCGTAGATGGTTGCCGCTAGACCTCGTAGATGGTTGCCGCTACTTGCGTAGGCAAAGCCCAATAGATCGCCGCCCGACCTTCGTAGGTAAAACCCAATAGATTTCGAGTCAGCCAATAGAATGCGGAAGATTTCGAGTCCGCTTCTCGCCGATGTCTATAATAAAATGCGTCAACAGCAGGATTCGAACTTGCGCAGGCAAAACCCAATAGATTTCGAGTCTATCTCCTTAACCACTCAGACATAATGTTGACAAGTTTACACTCATGCTAAGATCATTCTAATAGATACATCAATGAAAACTTGCAAGGGAAAACAAACAGCAATAGCAAAAAAACACTCACTATGGGGCTTGAACCCACAACCACAAGGTTAAGAGCTTTGTGCTCTAGCAACTGAGCTAGACAGGCTTGTTCTTAAAAAACATTGTTGATTCGGTGGATGTACATATTGAGAAGGGTAAGATGAAGCAGCCAAAGAAACTCTTTATCTTCTCAATCAAAGTTTCTCCTTTGACGAGGTGAGAGAATTTGATAGTAACCAAGTTTTAAGTCTATTATATGATGAACTTCCTAATTGTTGGACACTTCCAATAGTGACACTAACAAGTATCGCCATTACACTTCCAAACATCGCAAGCCCGCATGTTAATTGGATGGTAAGTAGTGTTGACGAAGGCCTCCACTATGTACGCCTTATAGATGCCTTGGATGAGAAGTATTACTTGAAAGGCATAAAAAGTGCAGCAGATGTAGTGTGGGTGGGAGTTGAGCTTCGCAAGAAGTGGTTGGATGTTGATCTTGAAAGAAAAGCTATTGGCAAAGTAAATTCTGCAAAGGAGATTATTCAAGCTCTTTTTGTTGAAGCTGAAAGGATTGTCATGGAGTTTTGGTGTGAGGAAAATCCTCTCTATTGGCCTGCAAATGTCTTAGCGGCTAATTCAATGTACAGGGTTGGCAATATCATTCTGCTTGCTATGAAAATGATGAGTGCCGACCTGAAGAGGTTTTTCGAAAGTTAATTTGCATGTTGGATATTAAAAAAAAAAATTAATAAGGAGATACAACGTCGATTTTTCCCTATCATTTAATTTAAAAAAAAGTTCAAAATATAAACGATACCATATCAATTTTTCCTAAAATTTGATGTCTTATAGAATTTTTTTTTTTTTTTTTTTTTTTTTTTTTAAATTAAACTATACAACATCAGCTTTTAGGAAAAACAAATGTTGTATCATTTTATAAAAAAGATACCACATCCATTTTCTAGAAAAACTGGCGTGGTATCTCTTAATTTTAATTTGTTAAAAAAGAAATTAAATGATACGATGTTGATTTTTCGTAACTCATTTTGGACTATTCTTTTAACTATTCATTTCAATATAAGTAACAATTATTATTTTTTAAAAAGTAAAGTTAAATACTATTTTAAAATTTAAAAATATATATTAGAGACTAGTACATACCTCATCAACTCGATTATATAACTTTACCAGCTTCTTTGGCGAAATAATATAGTGTTGATATGCAGCACCTAAAACTCACACTACACCAAATATGGCATTCAGTGGCAGTTTTTTTTTTTTTTTTTTTTTTTTTTTTTTTTTTTTAACGTTTAGTGACGGTTATTAAACCGTGTCAAAATAGTTTGAATGCATTTATCGGCGGTTCACAAACCGCTGCTAAAATTAGGTACTTTTCGTTTGCTTTTAGCGGCGGTTTGGTATCCGCTGCTAAAATGAGATACTTTTCGTCTTTTCGTTTGCTTTTAGCAGCGATTTTGTTACTGCCGCTAAATAAATCTATTTTCTTTTTCAAATTTTAGTGGCGGTTATTAAGTGTCGCTAAATTATTTTCTTTATTTATTTTTATAAAATTTAATAGCAATTATTAAGTGTCGCTAAATAATTTTTGTTTTCATAATTAAGTGTCGCTAAATGTTTTACAATTACATTATTATATTTTTATAATTATCATGTAATTATATTTCTTTAAAAATCTTTATATTGGAATCACAAACAAACTCTATGTACACATTAATTAGAAAGAAAATCAATTATAATTAATATTTGTCAAATAATTGTAACAAAAATATAAGTATTTTAATAGCAAAAATACATGTTTTGCTATTTACAATTTTACATGGTTTTGATGTGTTTGTGCCGAACTTAGCATAGGAAAATTCAAGCAGCCAACTACCTAGGACCAAACAAGCTGATGGAAACTTCATTTAAGGAACTTGCAGCTTGTGTGCTTGATGAACATTCAGCACTGGTTCAAGCTATGTCACGTCATTGCTTAACATCTAAACTACAGACGACATGGTTGGTCTGTCGTCGAGATATTGCTGCACGCATAGCAAACCGACATGGATTGATCTCAGAACTTCAGAAAGATCACCTTATTCAACTAATAGATCATCATCAACTAGTTCATCTGATCTGCCTTCTCTGTAAAGATTCCAGGCTTGTTGAAGTTTATAAATTGGATCAGCTGGGAATCTTCTTGGATATATACGCAAATTATGCTGTGCAACCGAATGCACCTTGCAAGGTGCATACGGTTGCAAAACGGCGCCGTTTTGGTTAAAAAAATGCGCGTCCCACTTAAAAAAGAAATCAGGTTTGATTCCCGGCAATAGCATTTTTATATATCCAGAAATTCATAACTATATATCCAGAAATTCATAACTATATAGCCACAGTGAATGAATGAAGTAAAAATCCACAATGAATGAATGGATGAAGTAAAAATCCACAATGAATGAATGAATGAAATAAAAATCCACAATGAATGAACTAAATATCCACAATGATTGAACTAAATATCCACAATGAATGAACTAAATATCCATAAATTCATAACTATATATCCAGAAATTCATAACTATATATCAATAAATTCATAACTATATATCCACAGTGAATGAATGAAGTAAATATCTACAATGAATGAACTAAATATCCACAATGAATGAACTAAATTTCCATAAATTCATAACTATATATCCACAAATTTATAACTATATATCCAGAAATTCATAACTATATATCCACAATAATGCTATTGCCGAGAATCGAACCTGAAATTTTTTTTTTTTTAAAAGTGAGACGCGCGTTTTTAGTCAAAACGACGTCGTTTTGCATCGTATGCACCATGCGCATGGTACATTCGGTTGCACAGCATAACTATTGGGATATATATGAATAGGCTAAGAATATAATACTTACATGCCCAAGAAGGATAGTGATAGTTTCAGCACTTATTGACGGACGGCGCATCTTACAGATATCACTGGCTACCTACAAATTGACAAAGTAGAGAAAATTAAAGGACATAAGGAACAATATATTTGTCAAAATATAAAAACCCTAGGTTTAACCCATTATGTAGTCCTATATAAGCATGTGCATCAGTATCACTAAACATTAAACTCTTTCAAATATAATCAATATATTTCTTCTTGCTCTGATTTTGATGTATTTTAACATTGTATAATAATAAATACTTGGATTTTATGCAACAATACTAATCTAGCTAATTATCTCTCATTGCAATAAGTTTTGTTGGAACAACACTTACAATCTAATGTTGATTTATGTGTGAGTTATTGTAATAAAATATGCGATGCTGGACAATAAGAATAATAATCACACATGTAACAGAAAACATAAAATGCAAGAAAGTAAATTAATAGTGATACTTGAATTTGATTTGTATGTGTAACACGGAGGTCATCACTCATGATTCGTGTTCACATGCCCTTGCATGATCTTAACCATAGCCTCCGAGTCCAACTCTACCACAACGTTACGCAACCCCTTCCCTCGCAAGCCGATTACCCTCCTTGAGCTCCCAAAGTTCAATAGTGAAATTATTGGTTAATCCAATTTTCACATTGACCTTGTGAACCATCTATGATCCCAAGATTCGCTAACGAAGCTATGTACCCCTTCCCCACCCACTTGCCAACCCCAAGGTTGCTTTCATCACCTCATCAATATTGATCGAGTTTAAACCAGGCCAACCATCCCTCCTTTGATGAGGACCAATTAACTCACCTCAAGCTACCACCCTCTATAACACCCCTTTTGATAAAGAAATTACCCGCCTCTTCCATCAACCATGCAGGCCTCCTCACTATTAACTAAACATTTACTCCGTAATAAAAAGTACCAATAAAAACTTTTGGGATAGCTAGAAGGGCACTGCTATGTACACGTTACAAGTTTTACAACTTTTGGGATAGCTAGAACGACAACAAAAAATTAAATGACATTGCTACAACTTTTGGCACTGCTCTGGGAAAAGGAACTTGAGTAATGATTTGGTTTGTACTATTGAAGATTAATTCAAATTTCTTCCTATTAAAATACAAAGTTGGAATAGCTCAGTTGGTTAGAACGTGTGGTTGTTAACCACAAGGTTAGAGGTTCACGCCTTCCCAGAATAAAAGATTTTAGTTCCATTATTTCCATGTTATATGAGAATAAAAGATTTTCCTTTTCCTTCGATTGACGAGAGAAACTTGTAATTGCTACCCAGAATAAAAGATTTTAGTTCCATTATTTCCATGTTATATGAGAATAAAAGATTTTCCTTTTCCTTCGATTGACGATAGAAACTTGTAATTGCTACCCAGGACTCAAATCAAGAAAGCAAATAGGCCGCTCCTGTTGGCTATTGATTAAACTCTTGAATAAATAAATGCATGTAATATCAACTGAGCTGCATGTGCGGGCTAGTTCTTTTTATACTTGATTTGGTAGAGAAGTGCTAGCTTACTTATTGAGTTGTTGAGCGCACTTGTGCATATATTCCACTAGAGGCTATATTATGATTTTTTGTTCCATATTAAAAATTTGGGTTATTCATGATGCTTAGATGTGTATATTACAATACGAAATTAAGCTAATTCGAGGAGATCAAAATATTATGATTAAGAAGTGATTTTGTTTATCATATGGTTAATGTGTATGGCTTAGTAGGTGATTGCTATAATCTGAAAGCGCACAGAGTTCGTCACAATATAAATTCCTGGAGTATTCTAGGGTCGATCCCACGAAGAACACTATTAACTGTTATCTAGAATAATCGATTTGTTGATAAGGACAAACGCAAATAAATAGAATTAACGTTACATGTTTTACAACTTTTGGCATAGCTAGAACGACAACAAATAATTAAATGACATTGCTACAACTTTTGGCAGTGCTTTGGGAAAGGGAACTCGAGTCACGATTTGGTTTGTACTA